TCCCAGTGGGAGTGTCTAGTCAGTGTTTCCCTTTCCACATAGCAAGTTAACTGGAGTCTGACACACCGGCGTGTGTGCACAGAGTTTGCGAAGCTATTGGATAGATTCCCCGGAGAATGATGGGGCAGCTCTTGAAAAATGATCACGACTGGAACGCAAGGCTGGTGGGGCGCATGTGCTGTTTGGGTTAGTAGATTCTCTGCAATCTCACTTATTTTTAGAACCGAGAGAGGGAGAGGTGTGCGACCGTGTGTTGGTTTACGTGGTGGGAGCTTGCCGACTGTGGGACACCTTTTAGAAATCTGGACAGCACTCAGCTCCCCAGAGAGCACTTACCCCTTACTGCTGTGCAGAGTATGTGTTTCTCAATAATCTCAGTATTTATTGGCTGTGTGATATTTGAGTGTCCTTTCTTCTGGAATTCATTGAAAACCAGTCACTGTAGGTAGTATTACTCTTTCTTGGTACATTTGGGTGTGTCCCTTGCTTCCAAATTTTGTTGCTTTTTTCATTCTTTGGCTTATGTATTTTCAGCCACTTTTTAAAAAGGAAAAGTGGTCATAAATGTATATTTTTCTCAAACCTTATCGTATAAATGAAATAATTTTCAGGTAGGCAAATGTAGTGAAATTCCATTCAGAAAAGTAACCGGATCGTCTGTTAAGTGACCAGAGCGAGTTAAAGTGACAGAAATATTTTTCCCTTTTGTTGTCATAGCAACAGTATCCTAACTATAAATTTCAGTGTCAGACGTCCCTCACTGGAGTGAAATAAAGGACTGTTATGAGACTTGTAATTGGAAAATTAGATGGTGTCATCTGGAATACTCCCTTTTGAAATAATGTGGATGGAAAGTGGTAAATCACAGTCTTTGCAGACCTCAGTTATTCTCTAATTCTACATTGCTTTTCTGAAGAAAGTTGAGACGTTAAAATTGGTAGATTTTTTTGGTACACAATTCATCTTAATTCTTTGAATATGAAAAAGTTCCAGGGATTGATACCAATGGGACTCTTGTAGACTTGCTAGAGTTTAAAAGAGGTGGTCTCTGTCACACACTTCAGTACTGTGTATTCTAGTTGTGGATATAGTCTCCAAACACTTCCTCAATATTGTCTGCCAAATTTAGTGCCAGTCTTGCATGTTCAATACTGCATTTGGGCCACTAGCCACAACCTTCCAACAAAACCTTAGTGACCAAAAGAGCCTTTTTGTATGGGAAATGTTTAGGTTAATACCTCCTTTGTGCTTGGAGCTAAATTGTTTGCTCAAATCAACATTCTTAATATACATCACCTGGTAAGAAATTAATAAATGATTGGTCTTTAGAATACATGTTCTGCTTCATTTTTTAACATACAGGGAATATTAATTTGGAAAATAAGAAATATTCCACTAACCATTTTGAAGGAGAGTAGTCTGTAGATTTGATATATTTAGTTTAATGGGACAGATAAACATGTTAGCATTAATATTATATGGTTCTATGAATTACTTACATTTTGAAGGATGGAAATAGGAATGTCTTTTTTTTTCTTTTTTTTTCCCCTCTTTTTTTCTTCTTTTTGAGTCACATCTGGCGATGCACAGGTCTTACTCCTGGCTCATGCACTCAGGAATTACTCCTGGTGGTCTGCTCAGGGAACCAGATAGGATGCTGGGAATCAAACCTGGATCGTTTTGATCTGCATCTCCCTGATGATTAATGATGTAGAGTATTTTCTCATGTGCCTTTTAGCCATTCGGATTTCTCCTTTGAGAAAGTTTCTGTTCATTCCGTTGTCCCATTTTTTAATGGGGTTGGGATCAGTGGTGGTGGAAAATGGGCACTGGTGGAGGGATGGATGTTCGATCATTGTATAACTGAAATCCAAGCACAAAAATTTGTAAGTCTACAACTGTACCTCATGGTGTTTCACTAATAAAAATAAAAAAAAAACAAAAATAAAAAACCAGGGTCAGCTGTGTGCAAGGCAAACACCTTACCCGTTGTGCTATCACTCCAGACCTGAAATAGGAATGTCTTAATCTCAGATGTTGTAACTTGATATGGATACCTTCTGTTCCTGAAATGCACTGTACTGTAGCACTGTCCTCCCGCTGTTCATCGATTTGCTTGAATGGGCACCAGTAACATCTCACAACAAATTGTGAGACTTGTTGTTACTGTTTTTGGCATATCGAATATGTCATGGGGAGCTTGCCAGGCTTTGCCATCAGGGCGAGATACTCTCGGTAGCTTGTTGGACTCTCTGAGGAGGGGAGGAGGAATTGAACTCGGGTCAGCTGCGTGCAAGGGAAATGCCCTACCCACTGTGCTATCGCTCCAGAATTATGAAAATTTATTATGAATGGTACATTATAAACCTTTTTTTTTCTGGACAATTTAATTGTGGTCTTAAGTTATTAAGTTGTAAGTTCTTATGTGGTCCTAAAGTAAAGGCCCTCCCGTTGATCGTCGATTTGCTCGAGCGGGCCCAGTAACGTCTCCATTGGAGACTTTGTTGTTACTGTGTCTGGCATATCGAATACTCTCGGTAGCTTGCCGGGCTCTCCGAGAGGGGTGGAGGAATCGAACTCGGGTTGGCCATGTTGGCCGCTTGTAAGGCGAACGCCCTACCGGCTGTGCTATAGGAGAGCCCTCACCTAGAAAGTTAGTTTTTTGCCACTGTTTTCTTTTGGGGGTTTCAGAAAAATGCAGCTGAGAATGTAATCTGACTACTAGATTTTAGCACAGTGGTTCCATTGTTTGAATTCCCTTGTACAAAGTTCATATCACAGGGCAGGGCCAGATTCCCCAACCTGCCTCATCTGTGATTGAAATGTGTTCAACCCTTTATTTGGAAAATGACACTCTTGAGTTAGTGGAAAAAACTCTGGAGGAATTACAGTACTTGTGTCCTACTTGTGCTTTAAAAAAAAGAGCAAACTTGAGTGATTAATTGAAGTTCTCTTTCTTGAGGCTAGCACAGCGGCTAAGGCATTTGCTTTGCATGTGGATGACCTGGCCGACCGGGGTTCGATTCCTCTGCCCCTCTTGGAGAGCCTTGGCAAGCTTCTGAGAGTATCTCACCCACACGGCAAAGCCTGGCAAGCTCCCTGTGACGTATTCGATATGCCAAACACAGTAACAACAAGTCTCACAATTTGTTGTGAGATGTTACTGGTGCCTACTCAAGCAAATTGATGAACAACGGGAGGACAGAACAGGACAGAGGTTCTGTGATTTACATTTACGGTTGGTGATGGTTTTCCATGCACATAATTCCAACACCACACTCATCACCAGTGTATCCACCTCCATTCCCCAAGGATTCCAGTGCCCCTCCTTTGAGCACTCTGTTCTCAAACTCAGTTTTGTGGATCATTTTTCTCATTGTGTTGCCTTTGGCCCTTTGTTGTTATCTTGATGTGTATTTAAGGTTCTTCAAATGGGAGAGATCACTCTGTACTTTTGTTCTTCCTTTGGACTGATTTCACTCGGCACAATATCTTCTGGTTCCAAATTGCATGATTTTGTTCTTTCTCAGAGCTGCATAATATTCCATTATGTATCTATCCCACAACTTCTGAATCCATTCATCTATAGTTGACCATTTGGGTTATTTCTATGTCTTTACTATTGTACTAAGTGCTGTGATGAACATTTGTGTGCGTGTATCCTTTTGAATGTTTTTGCCTTTTGGGAATTGATACCAAGAAGTGATATTGCTGAATTGTGTGGGAATTTTATTCCCATTTTTTTGGGATAGATCTCTATTGCTTTCCTTAGAGGCTGGGCCATTCAATATTCCCACCAACAGTGGGTGAGTTTTTCTTTCCCCAGCACTCAGCTTTCCTTTTTTTTTAATGAAGATGTCTGCACAAGTCTGGCTTCTGTCTTGCTCGTCTGCTTTCTCTGCTTTAAACGTCACCTGACTGCCCTGATCAGGGCTGGTCTTTCTTTTCTTTGTGCTTGCCTTCATGGTGAGTACCACATCTTTTGCTTGGTTGGCATACTTTATCTCACTTGCCTTGTGTCAGGAACCCTTTCAGGATAATGAACTCCAGAGACTGTTTGCCTTGCATGCAGTCAACCCAGGTTCGATTCCCAGCATCCCATATGGCCCCCCGAGTACTGCCAGGAGTAATTCCTGAGTGCATGAGCCAGGAGTAACCCCTGTGCATCGCCGGGTGTGACCCAAAAAGCGGAAAAAAAGTTAGTTCTATGTCCATGTCAGGAAAGTAAATCCTAAGATGTCTTCCCTGACCGTTTCTTTGCACAGCCCCTGTAATCAGAGCTGTATCTCTCACACTCTGTAGCGGAATCTAATTGGGCCATTTTTGTTGACTAGCTACTAGCAGCATGATTAGTAGTAAAACCAGGATCCATTTTAAGCCAAAGGTCTGGACTGTAAATCTTCTTTTTAGAAAAACAAGATTAGAGAGCATATTTTGCTTGCTGGAGCCTCAAGTTCGACACCTGGGCACCGCATAGTCCCCTGAACCCAGCTGGGAGCAAACTCCAGGCGCCAAAGTGGAGATGGCATCCCCTTCTCCCCAGGAGCAAAGCATAGCTGAACAGTCATGGACAAATCTTTGACTTCTGCCTTTCTTGGTTTCCTCTTATGTAATGTGGGAATTAAAATTACCTTGCCCTTATTCTTGTGATGGCCAAATGGAATGTGATGCGGTGCCCAAGAGTTTTTGTGACGTTCAGTGCAAGGGCTTACTTGAAGCTCGTAAAGTTTAGGTTAGCCAGCTTCCAGAGGGGTTCGTGGTGGTGGGTTTTTGCAGCGGAACTCACAGAGGCGCTTGTCTAAAGTGGTGATGTTGCCACAGTACTGGGAAGAGACCATCTGACAAACAGCTCTTTTCACATAGTCTAGAGTTGTTAAACTTAGACCGGAACGTTCAAACTACCTTCTTCAATATCTTATTTTTGTTTATGTGTATAATCACAACCAAAGTTTCCTGTTCGTCGATTTTTACCAACCACATTCGTATCTTTTCCCTTCCAGATGAACGGGACAAAGTTCAAAAGAAAACGTTTACAAAATGGATAAATCAGCATCTCATGAAGGTGAGTTAAATGTCCATCACATCTTACAGTGGCTTGGCCTGCTTTAATTTACTGTGAAGTAATCGTATAACTTGGACGCACAGCTTTTCAATATTAACCGATAGCTTAAATTCTAGAGCATTTCTCATGCATTTTAGGCATCTGTAATTATTTGGTGTGTGGTCTAGGGGTAATGATGGAGGTGGGCAGATAAAAACGTGGTGATTGCAGGGCATTCTGTGACATTAGTAAGACCTGTTATTATTGGGCTCTGAAAAAGCTCTGTAGTTTAACACATGTAAATATTTATATGGGAAAGCATGGAAAAGTTGCAGTTCTCAGGAAGGTACCTTTAATCTCTCAAGATTGAAACCGAGTTCTGGCATCGGACTTAATATCAGTGCAGAGCATAAGATGAGGATAGAGATGAAGGTCAAAGAGACGGAAGTCTACGTGCATTTTGCTTTTAATAGTTATGGCCCAGGGCCTGGTGCTGATATTTTCTTTTTTGCAGGGTAACAGTAAACATTCGTGGCTCTTGAGTTAATATTCATTTGTGAGCCATGGATTGCTTTGAGAATCTGAAATAAATGACAAACAATTCTCCTGCATGTTAATTATTTGTATGCATATGTACACAAATTTATTTGTGTGTACGTGTGCATATAGGTTTGGCATACTTCAATAGAATTGTTGAATTCCTCTGAAATCACTCTCTAAATGTTAAGCAAAGAACTTCAAGACTTTGCAGTGAGCTATTAAAACCTTTTAGGGGCATTGTTAAAGTTGAAAATAAGTAATATTTTGGGGCTGGAGCAATAGCACAGCGGGGAGGGCGTTTGCCTTGCACGCGGCCGACCTGGGTTCGATTCCCAGCATCCCATATGGTCTCCTGAGCACCGCCAGGAGTTATTCCTGAGTGCAGAGCCAGGAACAACCCCTGTGCATTGCCTAGTGTGACCCGAAAAACAACAACAACAACAAAAAAAGGCAAAAAAAAAAGAAAATAAGTAATATTTTAAGTCTGTCACTTGAGGCAGTATTTTCTCACACAGAAACATTATTTTAAATATGACTAAGCTTTGTTCATGGCAGGGGTCCCTCCTGGCCTGCTCAGGACTGTGCTGTGATGGGACTGGAACTGGGTCTCTCGCATGCAGAGCTTGTACTTCCGCCTTTGAACTCTTTCTTGGGCCCAGTTTTTAAAACTGGTGGTGGCTGTCTCCTGACAAATTATTCTGGATACTTCTGGAGACTTCCAGAAGATAGCTGCTATGGTTCCAGTTAATAATCATGACATAACTGCTGGCAGTGCTTAGATGATAATAGCAGCACAAATGGCCATGTCCCCTTGAGAGATTAGTGCTTACACTAGAACAGAAATTTATTGGGGGCCTAATCCTTGTCAGGCATGGCGGATTGGTCCATTCATTATGAATGGGTCATAAGTCGGATTATTGAGTATGACTTTTCTATCCTTTCTGCTAAAATCGTCAGGCCTGTAGTTAAGCCATTTGACAACTGTCTTGATTCACTTGTAGGTCTCATCACAGTACCTGGCAACCTTATTCTCACTGTGTATTCTACACATACATCAAACAGTTTGATTTTCCCAGCAACACTTCAGAGTGGATTATTAGTAATTATTCCAATGTAGCCTCTGGATCTTAAACAAGGGTTTAGATTCTTATTTACCTAGAACATGTAACTTTTTATTTTTTGCTAAGATGACTGGGCTGGAGTGATAGCACAGCGGTAGGGCGTTTGCCTTGCACGCAGCCAACATGGCCGACCCGAGTTCGATTCCTCCACCCCTCTCGGAGAGCCCGGCAAGCTACCGAGAGTATTCGATCTGCCAGACACAGTAACAACAAAGTCTCCAATGGAGACGTTACTGGGCCCGCTCGAGCAAATCGATGATCAATGGGAGGGCCTTTACCTTGCCTTTACCTTTTGCTAAGATGACACATCTCAAAATTAAGACGTAATTTTGTCATATAAGAACTGGTACCTTGGACCAGAAATTTTGCTCCATGGTTTAGAGGCCAGCCACACATGCTAGGGGAAAAGGGAGCTCAGATAGAGAAGGGAGCACCAAATAAAGGGTGTTGGGAGGATCCTCCCAGGATGGGAGATGCATGCTGAAAGTAGACTATAGACCAAACATGATTGCCACTCAATGCCTCTCTTGCAAACCACAGGACCCAAAAGGGGAGAGAGAGAGAGAGAGAGAGAGAGAGAGAAAGAGAGAGAACAAAAGGGAATGCCCTGCCACAAAGGCAGGGTGGGATGGGGGGGTGGGGGGGTGGGAGGGATGCTGGGACCCGTGGTGGTGGGAAATGGGCACTGGTGGAGGGATGGGTCCTTGATCATTGTATAATTAAAACCCAAGCACACAAATTTGTAAGTCTACAACTGTACCTCATGGTGTCTCACTAATAAAAATTAAAAAATTTAAAATAAAAAAATAAATTAAAAAAAAAGAACTGGTACCTTGGGGCCACAGAGATAGTGCAGTGGGTAGGGCACTTGCCTTGTGTATGGGGGCAGAACTGGATTCGATCCCCAGCACTGTAAATGGTCCCCCAAGCAATACCAGGAGTGATCCCTGTGCCCAGAGCTAGAAATGATCCCTGAACTGGGTGTGCCTTCCCCAAAGGAGAAAAAAAAAGTTTTGGTGTATGTATTACATGTATCTGAAATGTGTATTTTAGGTGCAGTGGCTACTAGACTGTGTAATACAGCTGATTGGAGTTGTAATCCAGTGACCTCATTTGTTTCCTGAAGTCTGTTATAGGTCAGAATTTAAAAGTCCCCCTTAGTAAATGAGGAGCTATTCTAGGCAGTGGGACGCGTAGGCCACATTCTTGGCCAACTGCCCTGTCGGTTGCTTATATCCTTGTTTATTTGCTTGTAGGGTTAGTTCCAAGTAACCTTTCCTGGCCCAGCAGTTCTTCCATTTGGCGTTGTGGATAGGTCATTGAAAACTGCGATTTTAAGTAAAAAGACTTAGAACAAGAACATTGGCTTAGGTCACAATCACGATCTCGATCATCCTGTTATTCGTCGATTGCCTCAAGCAGGCCCCAGTAACGTCTCCTTCGTCCTAGCCCTGAGATTATATTCAAGGCTCTTTAGGAGAATGAGACCCATCATTGTTACTGGTATTTGGCATATTTGGTACGCCACGGGGAGTTCGCCAGACTCTGCCCTGTGGGCAGGCTACATTCGGTAGCCTGCCAGTTTGTCCAAAAGTAAGAATGAGATTATAAGATGTTGCGCTTCCGGGAACTGGGTTTTATAGTCTCTGGATCTTGGCCAGTTGATGGGATTACACGGCGCCAGGGGGCCAGTTGGTGGGTGTGACCCCCGCCTACTGGAATTTGGAGGATCTGGGTGGAGGATGCTCAGCCCCGATCGGAGCAGGCTTGGAGATCTCAGCCCCGAGACCCGCATGCCTTTGTTCCTCTGCCTGTACCTTCATGTGTGTGGTCTCAGCATGGTTGTGGCTGGTTCTGGAGGTCTTCAGCTGCTGGAGTTCTGCTCAGGGCGGGGAGGGAAACTTGACCCGCCCCCCCCTTCAAGGGGCCCTGGTGAGGACAGCCAGGCGTGGGGGCAGGAGACTCTGCGCTGTTCTCTTCTGGGAGCTGGGTTTTGTAGTCCCTGGGTCTTGGCCTTGATGGGATTACGCGGCGCCAGGGCGTCAGTTGGTGGGTGTGACCCCTGCCCACTGGAAGATGGAGGATCTGGGTGGAGGATGCTCAGCCCGATCCGAGCAGGCTCGGAGATTTCAGCCCCAGGACTCGCATTTTTGCTTAGGTAATGCTGTTTTATTTAACATTGACAGGAATTATTTTCCCCCCTCATCTTCAGGTCACCTGCTCTGGCCTAAAAATTGTGCACAGAAAATTCTGATGTAGTACTTAAATACGCGAGAACATACTTTAAAGTCTTTTGGCCTTTACATTTTGAAGTTACAGTGTTAACTGGAAGAAAAGCGAAACAAGTATCCTAAAAATGTTTGAGCCAACAGACAGTTAAAATTTGTGGTACTTTTTTTTTTTTTTTTTTTGCTTATTGGGTCACACCCAGTGATGCAAAGGGGTTTCTCCTGTTTCATGCACTTGGGAATTACTCCTGGCCGTGCTTGGGGGACCACATGGGATGCTGGGAATCGAACCCGGGTTGGGCCGCATGCAAGGCAAACACTCTACCTGCTGTGCTATCACTCCAGCCCCACTATTGGTTAACCTGAGAAAATTCAGCCTTTGTGTGATCTTACAAAATTTGGGTCAAGTGATGATACAGACATTGTTACTAGGAGTCAGCTCTTCTTCCTGCACTAAGTAGGATGGTGCACACTTTTGTTGTAGGTGGCCTTTGGGTCTTAATCCTGTTAACGGGAAATAGGACAAGTTTATGAATTGTTGGATTAAGAACTCTTAATGCTAGAAATGTTTCTTTCCTACTGATTTTCTTATCCACCACTTGAAATACTGAGCTTGTTCAGCAAATGAGGGAGAAGCGGGCCCTCTATTATTGCCCGTACCCCATTCCTTCTCAATTAATTAAAGGTCTGTGTTAGAAAGAGTTTTTAAATGAGTAGGATCATGTTATCTAAATGTTAAGGAAAAGGGTGACCCTGAGAATGAGTTCATAAAACGAAAGAGTAAGTGATGAAGACAAAGAGGGGAAAAGTGGGACTATAATCATGTGGACAAAATGTGAATGATTCTGCATTGCATTCAGCCTTCAGTCAGTTTTAACTTCAATTGTAAGAAGGCCTTAAGCTGTGGGGGAAGTTGAGGTAAAAGAAATTGAGAGAACAGTAGCAACAGCAAAGGAAATTTGAGAAGGAAAAGCAAGGAGGAGATACCTTTAGCTTCAATGTCATGAGGTTTTTTTGCTCTTGTTTTCCTTAATATATTTGTGGATTTTGGAGCCAGAGAGATAGTACAGGAGGTGAGCGTTTGCCTTGCATATGGCCAACCAGGGTTCCATCCCCGCCAGGAGTCATTCCT